ATTGTGTCTCCAATAAGTTTCAAGACTCTGCGCACAGTGTTTGTTGAGATATCAATATCCCAGTTGTCGTATGTCCAAAGCGGATTTAAAAAGAAGAGAGTACAACTGTCGGAAGTCCAGAAGCATTAATTTCGATACATTTTGTTTTGTCGTATCTCCATTTGAGCAAATGGAATGAGAGAGTGCAGTCACGTGATTTTATGGGCACAGCAAAATAGCGTCGTTTAGAAGAGGACTGTTCAACGACCAAGAGGCCGTAAAAGTGTATGTTCATTTAATTTGAATAAGTAATTTGATGAGTGTGTCTGTATGTCCCAAATTCTTTAAATTTTATCTATGTCATAGTTTAGAAATAATCTGGTATGCACTCTTAATTATTTTGTTTTTGTAGTGCCATGCGTAGAAAGTGTTGGTGTCACTTCTTGTGGTTCTGTGCCTGAGATTTGGGGGGGAGGGGGGGGGAGGGGTCCCAAAGCTTCTTTCTACTTCTGTTTTGTTTTGTTCTGCTACAGATTGCTTTTATTTTTACCCTCTCTGCGAGTTGAGTAAGAATCTCCCCTGGCCTAGGAAACCAAACACTACCGGTTGTGCATGTAAAATCAAAACATAGCTGGAGTTATGTGTTTTTACAAAAATTGTTTCTGTACCACTCAAATTATTGTTGCCTTAAGTCTTATGAACATGGGTGTTTGGTTGTCACAATTTGCATAGTCGTGCATCTGAGTGTCTGCTTTTCATTGTAACACTTTCGGCTCATTTTAACAAAATGCACATTACTTGATAATAGAAGTAATGTGTGTGTGTGTGTGTGTGTGTGTGTGTGTGTGTGTGTGTGTGTGTGTGTGTGTGTGTGTGTGTGTGTGTGTGTGTGTGTGTGTGAATGTGTGTGCGCGCATGAGTGTGTATCTTTTATATATATATATATATATATATATATATATATATATATATATATATATATATATATAAGACTAGCTGGGCCACCTTTGGATGAAAGGGATGATCGATACATTAACATGAACTGAAAGTCTTTGGCCTACTACCTCGACCTTTGAGAGCGCGAGGGGTTCCAACTGCAGAACGTCGTTTTCTTTTCTGCATGAGCAGGCACTATCTAGATCTAGATTCTAATCAAAGACCTGTTGACGTTGTTCCCAGTAGAAAGAAAAAGAATTTGACAAAGGAGTCCAGAAAATGCGATGATGGGCATCAAACGAACGAATCAGAGTCGAATTTAGAACCAAGTTAAAAAAGAAAACCTGAGGCTAGATCTTTATGGGTCGCACACTTAAAATAGTGCTCAGTATTGCGCGACAATGCGGGATAGTATCGAACGGAAGTACGACTTGAAATAAATAAACCTGGCGGATTTTCCAAAATTACAGAGACAGAAGCGTCGGCCTACAAAAACGATCGGCGAAATAAAGACATTTAGCTTTTTGCAGCAAAACTTACTCTAAACTGAAAAAACGAA